CCAACCTTCCCTCAGCATGTGCTCTTTCTCTCTCTCTCAAAAAAAGAAAAAGAAAAAAATACACCATAACCATTAAGATGATTCTAGAAATGCCAGTGTGGTTTAATATTTATAAGTCAATCAACAGAATTCATTACACCAATACTTTAGAAAAGCTACATAATGCTATTGATATTTCAAAAGTATATGATACAATTCAGTAGCCATTATATTAATAATAAAAACTCAAAATAACAATAGAAGGGAACTACTTAAAATTGACAAAACCATTTTCCAAAAATTGCCAGAAAACTTTATACTAAATGGTAAAATGTTTAAATCATTTCCATTAAAATTGGTGACAAGATAGGGATGCTCTCTATCACACGTATTACTCAACATTATTTTGGAGACAGTATTTCAGCACTGTCCAATACAACTTTCCAGAAATGTTTCATATTTAATGCTATCCAGTAGAGTAACCACTAGCCATATGCAGCTATTGAACATTTTTTTTTAAGATTTTATTTATTTATTCGACAGAGAGAGAGACAGCGAGAGAGAGAACACAAGCAGGGAGAGTGAGAGAGGGAGAAGCAGGCTTCCAGCGGAGCAGGGAGCCCGATGCGGGGCTCGATCCCAGGACCCCGGGATCATGACCTGAGCCGAAGGCAGACGCTCAACGACTGAGCCACCCAGGCGCCCCGCAGCTGTTGAACATTTTAAATGTGGCTAGGTGACTAAGAAACTGAATTTTAATTTATCCGGCTTAAATAAATTTAAATTTATTTGTTTAGGCTTTTTAAGTTTTTTTTTTCCGTTTCAGTGAGTTAACATACAGTGTTGTATTAGTTTCAAGTGTACAATATAGTGAGTCAACACTTCCATACATCACCCAGTGCTCATCACAAGTGCCCTCCTCAATCCCCATCCCCTATTTCACCCATCCCCCCACCCACCTCCCCTCTGATAACCATCAGTTTGTTCTCTATAATTAAGAGTCTGTTTCTTGGGGCACCTGGTGGCTCAGGGTCCTGGGATCAAGTCACACATCGGGCTCCTTGCTCAGCGGGGAGCCTGCGTCTCCCTCTGCCTGCCGCTCCCCCTGCTTGTGCTCTCTCTCTCTCTGTCAAATAAGTACTAAAATCTTAAAAAAAAAAAAAAAAAAAGGGTCGGAGCGCCTGAGTGGCTCAGTCGTTAAGCGTCTGCTTTCGGCTCAGGTCACGATCCCAACCTGGGATCGAGCCCCGCGTCCGGCTCCCCACTTGGCAGGGAGTCTGCTTCTCCTTCTCCCACTCCCCCTGCTTGTGTTCCCTCCCTCACTGTCTCTCTCTCTTTGTCAAATAAATAAATAAAATCTTTAAAAAAATAAATTTAATTTAAAAAAGAATCTGTTTCTTAATAAATTTAAATTTAAATAGCCACATGAGCTTAGTGGCTACTGTACTGAACAGCTAACACAATAAAAAGAATCACACCAAATACTGGATAAATGAGAAAATATTATCTATATCTGATAGGCTGTACAATTAGAAAACTTGAGAGACTATACTAAGAAGCTGCCAGAATTGGTAGATCATTTTGATAAGGGGCTGGATACAAGATAAAATTATAAAAATAGGTTATTTTCTTCCTATACTAACAGTAAGCAGATAGGATCAGCAAACAAGCCTTAACAATGACAACAAAAATGTTGTGAATATCTGAGAACAAATTTAACCAAAAAAGATGATGGACTTCTAAGAAGATGACAAAATGTCATTGCAGTATATAAGACATAATCAAATAGAGACTCATGAAAAAAAAGAGACTCATGAAATCCCTAGATACAAAGGCTTATTGTAACAAAAAGCATTGAATCTTCCCAAACTATTATATTAGGGTAATACAGTTCCAATTAGAATCCCAATAGTTTTGTTTTGTTGGGGTTTTGGGGAGGGGCGTGGCATTCATTTTGAAACTTCATTTTAAACTTCAGGGAGTTCTTAGAAAAATAAATTCACAAGAAGAGAACTCCTTTGAAATCAGACTACAGAGACACAATCAAGAGTTCCGGTCAAGCAAAACGTATGTGTGGCCTTGTATGACAAAAGTGATATTTAATTCAGTTGGATACAGGGCAGTGTGTTCCATAAACAGCCAGCTGACATTGTTGAATTTTACCTGAGCCCTGTGATCCTGGTAAACAGTGAAGGTTGAGAAACCTCCTTATTCTTTCATGTTCTGGAAAACCGCGTACTGCCAGGAATTCCCCTTCCCTACATGACTTAGACAGGACTCACGCATGCTCCTGTTGTTTACCTATGACAAGGACAGACACAGAACTTCCAAATTCCCAGTCCTTGCCTCATAAGCATTGATTTAATCAGAACAGAATGCTTGTTAGCCAAATGTCAGTTGAGCGTCTCTCTTTCCCACAGCCTCCTGAACTTGGCTTGTCCCCAAGCCCGAGAAAGCACAAAAAATTGTGGAATGTGCCCTCTCTTCGCAGCCTCCCCTGGGAGGGAATTGACTGACCACAGTGGGCACTTTCCTGTCAGGTCAGGTGCTACTGGCCATTCTGCTAATGCAGCTCCCCTCCCACAGATTCTGCTTATCTTGGCTTGCCTCCTCCTTACCCTATCTATAAAAGAGAAGCCTTTTTCTATTTGGTTATGAGATAATTGCAGATTTCTGAAATGGAAGCTTTCTCCCTATTTGACACAACAAGAACAAAACTTGACCTTGACCTCATACCCTACGCCACAGTAAATTCCAACTAGATTAAAGGTTTAAGTAGAAAAAGATTAAAGCAATAAAAATGAAATAAATGTTAAGACTCTTTTTGGGCAGACGTGGAATGGGGGAGGAGGACCAAGCAAGACAGGAAATACAGAAGCCAGGAAAGAAAGTTTAGACATTTCTGATGAGAGACTACATCTTTCTTTCTTTCTTTCTTTTTTTTTTATTTATTTGAGAGAGAGAGAGAGAATGAGAGATAGAGAGCACAAGAGGGAAGAGGGTCAGAGGGAGAAGCAGACTCCCCGCTGAGCGGGGAGCCCGATGCGGGACTCGAATCCGGGACTCCAGGATCATGACCTGAGCCGAAGGCAGTCGCTTAACCAACTGAGCCACCCAGGCGCCCAAGAGACTACATCTTTCGAAACACATACTGGAGGACACCTATAAAATGCAAAGGAGAAAAAGAGTTAAGGGGGAAATACTGCAATGCAACTCACAAAGGGTTGATATCCCTAATGCACAAAGGGCTTCTACAAATCTATAAGAAAAAGACAAATCACTCCAATGTAAACTGGACAAAGGATATGAAAATCAGCAGAAGAGAAAATCCAAGTGAAATCAACAAACAGAAAAAGATGCTCTGTTGCAGAAGCAGTCAGGAAAATGCAAATTAAAGCAAGTATTTACTACTGGCCCTCACACTGACAAACATGAAAGACAGTATCAACATCCAGTGCTGAAAAGATTTGCCTCAGTGAACTCTTATTTTGCTGGTGGGGGTAGGCATGTTACAATCTTCTGGGGAAGAGATTTGGCTGTATCCATTTGACAACAAAATACCCTTACCTGAATTTAATAATGAACTTCAAAATATAGGAAGCAAAAATTGACTAGCACAATGAAAACCTGACCTAACAATACAATGGGAGAGTCTCTCACCTCTATCAGGAACTCATGGGGCAAGCAGAAGAAAATCATCAGGAAGGAAGTACATTTTTTTAAAGGCCCAACTAACAAGCTGGAGCCAATAAACCCATATGTTCAACCCAACAACTGGAAAATACAATCTTTTTAATCAGGAGATGAAACAAGTTTTTGAAAACTGAGCCCGTGCTTGAGCCTTAAGGCAAGTTTCAACAGATTTCAAAGACTCAGCATCATTCAGACAATATTCCCAGACCACAATGCAATTACGTGAGAAAACACTAACATCAGATTAACTTTGTGTTTATTTGGGGAAAGGAACATGGTGTCAAGACTTTTCTGCACTCGCTCTAAATTCCTTCTTGGTGTCATTAATTCCGAGAGGAGTATGTGACAAACTGAGATGAGTCAAATCAAAAACAGCTCCTTTCAATACCTGTGGACCAAAGCCCAGCAAACGTGCAGCCGGCGCTCAGCCGCTTTTGTTTCCCTCCCCTACAAAACTCCTCTCCCCTATAAAACTCCCCAAGCTCCAGGAAACGCTGGGCTGGGCTGTTGTCCCTGTTGCAGCAGCCTGAAAAAAGTACCCATTCCCTTTGCCCTGCGAGTCTCGGAGAAGTTCTGCAAGTTGGACAATGGACTTCTAAATAATTCGCGGGTTAAAAGGGGGAAAAAGTTACAAATTAGCATTTGAAACCAAACACTAGTGGAAGTGAATCAAAACTTGGATCTTTAGAACTTTAGCCTTAATGCTTTTAGAAGGAAACCAGGAAGGTTGACCACTCGATTTTTAAAAAATTGGACGAACTGCCCCACCACTGATATCACGGGCCCCCCAATTAGTCGCTCCACATGATACTTGGTCCCTGGCGCTAAATCACCTCAGCTCCCCGCGCCGAGAGTGGTTAAACTCTCGCTGCGGGCGACTTCCGCTTCCTGGCCTAAATCTGACACGCACTATCCCCCCCCCCACCCCGTGGCAACCACCCAGGGTCGGTGACAGTCGAGGAGCCCGGAGGAGCCCGGCGATGCCCTCAGCCGACGCGGGGACAGAGGCGCCGGCAGGTGGGCGCGTCGCGGCGCCCCGGGCCCCGCCGCCGCGCGCCACCCGCGCCCGTCAGGGGCCGTTCCGTTCGCTCTCGACGGGGAGCCAGGGCCGGAGGCCGGGGCGGAGGCCGGGGCGGGGGCGGGCCCGTTTCTGGGCCTGCTGCTTGGAGGAGTCTTCCTAGCAGGGACCGGGCGGCGGGAAGCGGGGCGGGGGGGGGGGGGAGGGGGCGGCCTAGCGGCGCGTGAACAAGCCGCGACTCCCCGGGGGATGCGACCCGAGGGCGGGGCCCCTGAGCGCCGGGAAGGCGGGCGGCCGGCCTGCGCCTGGGCGGCCACTGCGCAGAATGCGGCGCGGGCGGGAGAAGTGCCGGCGGCACAGCCCGCGCCCCGGCCCCGTCGGCTCCCGGGAAATCCCGCAGGGCCAGATGGGGCAGGGGACTGCCGGCTCCGCGGCCGAAATGACCACCCTTCCAAGATGGCGACTCCCGTAGAGACACTCCCGAGGGGACAGCCATGTTAGTTGCCTGACAAAGTCACTAAAGAACATTTGAAAGCCCGCCTCTCCACCTCCACGCACACGCGCTAACACAGCGCGAGGGCACCCTGTGGGGTGGCGGGCGGCCGGCCGCTCCCAAGCTGACACTGAGCATGTGCACGGTGAAGTCCAGACACGGAAGAGTCCCTCAGAGGTAGTTTCCACACTTAGGGTTCCGGGACTGGGTTTAACAGAGGCGGCACAGTTGGGCCAGTAAAGCACTGACATGATTATGGGGGTGTGGTGACATGGAGTTCGCACTCAGTGATGCTACTCTGTAGGGTGAGTGAGGAGGCTTCTCTGAGGTCACTAAGTAGGAGGGGCGTGGAGTGAATGACAGGGGTTTGGGGTGAGTGATGGGGTCAGTGGGGAAAATAAAATGGGTAGTCTGTGGGATGAGTGATGAGGGTGCTGGGGGGTCTTTAGGGTGAGCGATGAGGAGTCTGTCGGGGAGAGGGGTGAGGATTCTCAGAGGTCACTGATGGGGTCTGCCGAGTAAGTGATTGGAGCTGTGGGATAAGTGGTGGAGGTCTGTGGGGTGAATCATGGGTTAGTGAGGTAAGTGATAGGGGGCCTGTAAGATGAATGGTTGGAGTTCAGTGGGTTAGTGGTGAGGGTGTTTGGGGAGTAATGGGTGGTCTGTGGAGTGAATGGTGGAGAGTTTATGGGGTATTGAAGAATCAATGAATGAATGATTCGGACCGTGGGGTGACTGTTGCATGGTCTATGAGGTGCGTGATGGGGTTTATTGAGTGGATGGTCAAGGTTTCTGTGGTGTCAGTCATGCATTTATTTGGGACTGGTTGATGGATGGGCCAGTGGAATCAGATATGCTGCCTCCCGGAGTCAGTGATGGGTGGTCTTAAACCGAGATGGGATTGTTTCAAAACCCTACTTTGACTTTGTTGGGCCTCCTGTATTTTTGTTTTCGGCGTCATTAACTTCTCCCCTTGATTTCATTATTTCTCTTCTTTGGGTTTTTTCTTTTATTCTTATTTTTAAATTCCTAAGTTGAATGCTTATCTCATTAATATTCAGTCACTTTTCTTTTATAATATAAGCATTAAGTTCATGAATTTTCCTCTAAGAACACTTTAGCTCCATGTAACAAATTTTGGTATGTAACATTTTCACTACAGTTTACTTCAAATGTTTTCTAATTTCTGTTGTGGTTTTCTCTCTGACCCCATAGTTATGTAGATATGAGATTCTAATTTTCCAAAAAGTTGAAGGGGCACCTGGGTGGCTCAGTCGTTAGGCGTCTGCCTTCAGCTCAGGTCATGGTCCCAGGGTCTTGGGATCGAGTCCCGCATCTGGCTCCCCGCTCAGCAGAAAGCCTGCTTCTCCCTTTCCCAGTCCCCCTGCTTGTGTTCCCTCTCTCGCCATCTCTCTCTGTGTCAAATAAATAAAAAAATCTATTTAAAAAAGTTGAAAAAAATTTTTAAGATTTTATTTATTTGAGAGAGAGAGAGAGGGAGAGAGCACAAGCAGAGGGAGGGGCAGGCAGAGGGAGGGGGAGAAGCAGGCTTCCCCACTGAGCCGGCAACCCGATGCAGGGCTCAATCCCGGGACCCTGGGATCAAGACCGGAGCTGAAGGCAGACACTTAACCAACTGAGCCACCCAGGTGCCCCAAAAGTTGAATTTTTTGTTATTGATTTCTAAACTACACTCAGAGACTGTCATCTGAGTGATTATTAGGTGCAGAAATGGATGTCCCTTAAAGTGGATGGTATATATTGAACTTTAGGTAAATTATTTTCCAAAACTTTTGTAAAATTGGTACTCCCACCAGCAACATATAAAAGGGCTCACTCCGGGGTGCCTGGGTGGCTCAGTTGGTTTAACATCTGACTTGGGCTGGGGTCTTGATCTTGGGGTCACATCCCCCACTCGGGCTCCACACTAGGGGGGAGTCTGCTTCTCCCTCTCCCTCTGTCTCTTCCCCCCACACCCCCACCCCAGCTTGTTCTCGTGCTCTGTCGAATAAATAAAATCTTTAAAAATAGAAAAATAAATAAATAAAAAGTCTCACTCTAACATTCTCTCCCACACTGAATATTGCTGCTTTTTTAAATTTTCCCTATTCCGAGGGCCAAACAGAATGGTATCTGTTTTTACTTTGGTAAAGTAAATGGTATCTAGTATCTTGTTTTACTCTGATATGCATTTTTCTGGCAACTAGTGGTTGAGTATCTTTGCATATGTTTTTTAAAGTTTTCATATCCTTTGCTCTTTTTTTCCCTTTGGGTGGTTTGTCTTTCTAATTTGTGAATATTAACCTTCTGTCACTTATTGTGATTTTTCCCCTTTTATCTCTCTTTATATCTTGATTTTTGAAAGATGTTTTCATGTATAATTAGAAAAAATAATTATCTGATTAGAGATATCTGTCTTTGGTTCTGAGTCTTGTCTTGCTTAGTGAGTTCTCCCCACTTCATGCTTAAACAAATATGTGCCTTAAGTTTAACATTTTTATTGTTTTAATTTTTAAAATTAAATTTCAGTCCAACTGGAATTTACTCTGATGTGTGGTGTGAGACGAGATCGAAGTTTGTATTTTCCGTTTGGATAGAAAATTTGCTGGTACCAATCAAATGAATACACTTTTCTAACTCAACTGCATGCCACTATTGTCACATAAATTTCCAAATGTATTGCTCTATTTCTGAGCTCTATTTTTCCTTCTGATATATGTATCTACTCCCTTTCAAAAAAGTATGTTGACTTTTAGAAATACTTTTAATAACAAATAGGGCTAGCCCCTTCACTGTTCTTTTCTTTTTTTTTTTTTAAAGATTTTATTTATTTATTTGAGAGAGAGAATGAGATAGAGAGAGAGCATGAGAAGGGAGAGGGTCAGAGGGAGAGGCAGAGTCCCTGCCGAGCAGGGAGCCTGATGCGGAACTCGATCCCGGGACTCCAGGACCATGACCTGAGCCGAAGGCAGTCACTTAACCAACTGAGCCACCCAGGCGCCCTCACTGTTCTTTTCCTTTCTTTTTTGGTTGTTTTCTTTAATATTCTTTAGCATTTATTCTTCCCTATGAATGTTAAAACCATCTTATTTTATTTCAGAACAACCATTAAAACTATGTATTTTATAGTTTTCTTCTTTTTTAAAAGATTTATTTATTTGAGAGAGTGTGCATGAGAGTGGGGGGAGGGGCAGAGGGAGAGAATCTCAAGCAGACTCCCCACTGAGCTCAGAGCCTGACTCAGGGCTTGATCTCACCACCCATGAGATCATGACCCAAAACCAAGAGTCAGAGGCTCAACTGACTGAGCCACCCAGGCGCCCCTATAGTTTTCTTCCTATAGACCCAGCACCTTTTTTTATTTAAAAAAAAAAAAATCGCATTCTTAGATATTTTACATTTGTTTTTGTCACCATGGTGAAAAGCATACTTTTTCTATTTCCAAAGGAAAAAAAATCTGTCAACTTTTATTTTCTTTTTTGTATTTTGTATTTCTTATCCAATGCAATGATCAGATTCTCTTGTGAATTCTAGTTGCTTTTTAGTCTCTTACTTTTCTTAGATAGAATATCATATTGCATCCAGTTAACAGTGATACTCTCTCTTCCTTCCAAATATTTATTCTGATTACTTCATCTTCTCTTGCATTAGCTAGCACTTTTGGAACAATGTTGAATGATACTTGATAGAGGGTATCCCTATTTTGTTGCTAATTTGAAAGTGAAATGTGTTCATTCATTCATTTATTCAACAAACATTTATTGAGTACCTTCCCCTTGCCAAAAGACTGGGTTTGAAATCCTGCATGACCACTTACTAGCTACATGATCTTTTTTTTCTAACAGATTTATTGATATAATTCATCTACCATAAACTTATGGTAAACTACCGATTCAAAGCTTACAATTCAGTAGTTTTTAGTATATTCATGGAGTTGTGTAACCACCACCACGATCTAATTTTAGAACATTCTATAACCTCAGAAAGAAACATGGTACTCATTCCTCATTCCCATTCTGTATCCCCCTGCTGCAGGCAACCACTTACTGTCTCTGTAGATTTAACAATTCCAGGTTTTTATATAAATGGAATCATACAATATGTGGTCTTTTGTGACTCTTTTCTCTCACTTACCATAATGTTTTCAAGATTCATCCATGCATGCTATAGCATGTATCAGTCTTCATTCCTTTTTTATTACTGACTAACATTCTTCTGTAAGGATATACCACATTTTGTTTTTCCATTCATCAGTTGAGGGACATTTGGGCTTTTTCCACTTTTAACTACTATGAATAATGCTGCAATGAACATTTGTGTCCACGTTTTTGTGTGGACATCTATTTTCATTTCTCTTGGGAGTGGAATTGCTAGATCATATGGTACCTCTATGTTTAACACTTTGAAGAACTGCCAAACAGTTTTTCGAAATGGCTGTGCCATTTTACATCCCACCAGGAATGTATGTAGGTTCCAATTAGTCACATCCCCACCAACACTTGTTACTGTCTTTTTTTAGTCTAGCCATCCTAGTGGGTGGGAAGTGGTATCTCATTGTGGTTTTGATTTCTATTTCTCTAATGACTAGTGATATTAAATACCTTTTCATGTATGCAATGGACTGAATATTTAGGTTTCCCCCAAATTCCTATGTTGAAATCCTAATTCCCAATGTGATAGTATTAGGAGGTGAGGTCTCTGGGAGGTGATGAGGTCATGAAGGTGGAGCCCTCATGAATGGGATTAGTACCCTTATAAAAGAAACCCCAGAGAGTCCTTTTCCCCTTTTTGCCATGCAGCAAGAAGATGGCCTTCTATGAACCAAGAAGCAGGTTCTCCCCAGACACCAAATCTGCTGGTGCTTTGATCTTGGACTTCTCAGCCTCCAGCACCGTGAGAAAGAAATGTTTTTTGTTTAAGCCACCCAGTCTGTGGTAGTTCGTTATAGCAGCCCGAACTCACTGACGATGTGCTTATTGGCCATTTGTGTATCTTCTTTGGAGGGATATCAGTTTAAATCCTTTGCCTATTATTAATTGAGTGATTTGATTTTTTATTATTGAGTTGTAAGTATTCTTGATATGTTCTGGATACCAGTCCCTTGTCAGATATGTGATTTGCATTTATTTTCTCCCATTTTGTGGGTATCTTTTCACTTTCTTGGTGGTTGACTTTGT